AAAGCAATTCTTTTGCCTCAGCCTCCCGAGTAGCTGGGACTACGGGCGCCCGCCACAACGCGCTATTTTTTGGTTGCAGTTGTCATTGTTTAGCAGGCCCAGGCCGGGCTCGAACCCACCAGCCTCGGTGTATGTGGCCAACACCCTACCCACTGAGCTACAGGCGCCGCCTCGCTCTGCCTTTTGTAAGTGGTGTTGATACAAACGGGGCGAATTGCGACACTGTTGCAAGACTTTACCGGTCTCAATGGTGTGGAGGATAGTGACTTTCACTTATAAAGCTACTCCTTCTCTTCTCCGGGTCCTCCAGACCCCGCTCATACCGCTTTGAAGCGTAAGTCGCTAGAGGACGACCACCTCCCTCTTGCCGTAAAGCGAGTACTTCAAGCTGTCACCTCCCCTAGCGGGGGCGGGGTCGTCGGTGCCATTGCCGCAAAGCTAAAAGTGTTTCAGTTCCAGCCCCCTCCGTCGTAAAGATGCCTGCGGCAGGCGTTTTTTTTCCTTCTGTCGTAAAAGCTCCCTGCCCCTGTCTTCACCCCTCCTGGAGCCACTCCGTCAGTCGGCCGTGCCGTAAAGCAAGCCTTCCCGACCCCGTCGTCCTTCTGCTCTCAACCGTGGTAGTTTTTAGTGCCCCCAACGCGGCGACTTCTTTGCCGTAAAGCATATCTGGCCCCAGCCCCTAGTCGTATTCCCTCGGGGTGTCTGTCCACCACGGTTGCCACGGTGCCGCCAAGCGCGGCTGTCGCGCAGCCCCGGTGTCAGCGGTGATGGCGGCAGGGTCGGGAGGGAGTGGGGGCTCTGGGGGAGGCCCCGGCCCGGGGCCGGGTGGGGGTGGGGGTCCCGGCGGAGGAGGCCCAGGATCGGGGTCCAGCGGGAGTCTCGGCAGTGGCGGGGAGCTGCACCCGCGCACTGGGCGCTTGGTGAGCCTGTCGGCCTGTGGGCGTACAGCGCGGCGGCAGCAGCCAGGCCAGGAGTTTAACCACGGGCTGGTGTTGAGCCGGGAACCCTTGCGCGATGGACGCGTCTTCACCGTTCGCATCGACCGCAAGGTGCAGAGCCGGGGCCGCGGAACCGAGATGTGGAGGGTAGTGGGAGGGGACTTGAGGGAGACCGGGTAGGACAGTCAGGGTACCAAAGGGAAACTGACAGACTGTAAAGCACCAGATGACAGGCAGGAAGCAAGTATGAAGCAGGCACATTCATTCTGAGGAGACAAGGAGAGCTTGAGTTTTCTCAAAACCCAGAAGCTGAGAAGGGACATGAGGGGCTTATCCACTGGAATGGCTGGGAAAGAAAACTCAGGGCACAAATTCTTGAGGATGGAGAGATGTCAGAAGTGTGATGGAGCCTCGGCGCCTGTGGCTCAAGCGGCTAAGGCGCCAGCCACATACACCTAAGGTGGCGGGTTCAAATCCCCAGCCC